ATTCGATTAAAGTAAAACCATACGGAATTCAGTTTTTTAGATTGAATTTGATTAATATATATATATATATATATATCTAGATATAATTGTATTAGATGTTTGGATATATTTAGCTGTAATAAAAATATAGAAAAAAAAGTGCCGTCATCTTTGAAGGAAAAAAAAAATCAGGCCATGGGATCCTCTGCACGTGAGTTTTAAAAAAACATGGTAAAATGCGGTTGTGTTCCTTTCATGGCACGTGAGGCACTGACCCATTTGCTTTGCCTATTTTGCTTCGGTCCAAAATTTGTTCTTCCCGTCTCTTTTTATTTTATTTTATTTTTGGGGTTTGTAAATTGTTAATGTTAATTTTCGCTAATATGTTTAAAAAAAATAAAGGAGAAAACCAAGAGGGAGTGCACGTGCTTTGTACTAATTCCAATTGGTCGGCTCTGACTTCTGATAATCTAACTTCACTTTTAAAGAGGAGAATTCTATTAATCATATCACATAATTCTGTAGGAATATTAATCATATTGGTTAATATTTAGTTTGGTAATTTTTAAATTCAGATTACAAAAACTATATACATTCGGTTTATTTGGTGAATCTTGAAAGTGTTTAGTTTTCATATGATTAAAAATATTATTTAAAAAAATATTTCAATTATGTTAGATTTTACTTTTAAACCCAATGGCTTGGATTTTCCGAACCTTGGCGAAATTTTAATTTATTTTTTTTTTTACATCAACTTCAGTAAGCATTCTTGTGCAGTTAAATAGTATTAATTTACTTACTTTGACAAAAGAATTAATTACTTTATTTTTCTGACGCTTGACGATGAAACACGTCAGCAATGCAAGGAAAGGGAAATGAGTAATTGAATATATTTTTATATTTTACTTCCTTTCATTTTCTAATTTTCTGCTCTGTAAAATGAAAAAAAAAACCTCAAGGAATCGTCATTTTTATGTTTATTAATTAATTAATTAATACGTAAAATGGGCGTATATAAATTTCCAATTCCATATGCCTAAAGGTAAAAATATAAATTTCAATTCAATACACCTAACGGGGAAAAGAGAAAATAAACCAAATATTTTATGCAAAGATTCCAATTAATTCCGGACAAGATAATATCCAACGATTCAGAATTTTACATGTGACATCAGAATTACAATGTTTGTAGTACCAATTGGAAATCCGAATTATAATTTTTAATACCAATCACTTTTATTCAAAACTGACTAAATTTTGTAAAAAATAAAATTAGATTTATAAATATGTAAAATGGAATACACTTATATATTATGTTTATGTAGATAGATAGATATTTTGGGTTTAATATGAAAAAATAGAATTAATTTAATATAAATATTAATTAAAGATTATTTTTAAATCACTTCATTAGCATTCAGAGAAAATATAAAAATAATCATCCAAAAAATATTTTTAGAAATAAACAAAAACATAAATTTTCTAAATAGAATTGGATAGCAAAATATCAAATGTGAGTAACTTTTTAAAAATAAAAATTCAAATACAAAAAATAATCTAATCTAATCTAAACCAAATTATACACACATATAATAACTTGAACAAAACTTAATAATATTTTTGGTCATAAAAATCTAATAATGTTTTAGGGTCATTTTTTATTGTAGACTTCGAAATTTAACGTTCTAAATATGATTAAACATTCATATTGAGAGTTTCTCTTCCGCTTATCAAAATACTCTTGGATTTAATTAAGAATAAAAGGAACAAATTAAATATTAAACCATCAAAATGAATACACTACAAAAAAATCATCGAATTCCAATGGATTTTCCAACGGATTTGTCCGTTGAAAATTTTTCAACGGATTTTCAATGGTTTTCAACGGCGTTTCAACGACGATTTCCGTTAAAATTCCGTTGAAATGTCAAACGGATATACGTTGGAACCGCTCGTTGAAATTTTTTAATGAAATTTTCAACGAATTCAATTGAAAAATTGGGTTGAAAATTTCCAACGGTATTTCCAACGGATATCCATTGGAAATTTTCAATGGATATCGGTTGGAAAAATCGGTTGGACATTTCCAACAGAATTCCAACGGATGTTGGTTGGAAAAAAATTCCAACGGAATTCCAACGTATGTCGGTTGAAAATGTTTTTGGAATTTTTTTAAAAAAATTTCCAACGGATGTCGGTTGGAAATTTTTTTTAAAATTTGGATTTTAATTGAAAAATCAATTGAAAATATATATACTAATATATATATATATATATATATATTTAAATACATGTATTTTATATATTTATACATATACATATATATGTATAAATACAAATATATTTATGTATATATATTTTTATATGTACAAATATAATATGTATATATATATATATATACGAATAAGTATGTATATATATCGATATGTATATATTAACTATATACATACACATAACAAATATTATATATATATGAATTCGAATATATATATACATAAATATATACATATATATATATATGTGTGTCCAACGGACATCGATTTGTAATGACGAAATTCTAACGGATTTATCCGTTGGAAACGTTACTTTCCAACGGAAATTTGGCCATTTCCAACGGATTTGTCCGTTGGAAATGTCCATTTTTTTTTGTAGTGGTATATATATAGATATATATAAAATTCCTTACTAGCTAGGTGCCAATATACACACATAAGATTTAAATTTTGATCTAACCCTCAAATTATCATATAGGCGCTTTCTTGGGATAATGTTGGCAAAAGGTGGATTTTTCTTGGTTCTCTTTGGAATATTTTTCGGGTTTAGATTTTTAAATTTTATAAAAAAAAAATATAGTCATTTCATTTTTATCTCGGTTTCTGTTCGATTCAAATTCAATCTTCAATAAAAGAAAATATTCATTTAAAAGAATTTTGCTGTCAATTCTATTTTTAAATCACTTTTATGTTCAATTCATATATATTTAATTAGTTTTATTGAAAAATAAAAAATAACAATTTTATTCGTAATATATTTTATTATATAATTTTACTTCCTGCATAATACAAAATTGAATTGAATACGAGTAGAAATGTACAGCGCTCATTGTTAATTATAGTTATGTTAAATAAAATAATTTACTATAACCAATGAGCTAGAAAACATCAAGGAAAAAGATTCTTCTTGCTTAATGCCAACTTGTCCTATTTTATTGCAATCGTACTTATTGTTATGGGGGGCATTATATCGGGACCATATCATATACATCAAATCAAGAGTCAATTAAGAAGAAACCCTAGTTTTTTTAATCCAAAAATAATAATGTCATTCATTATTTTTAAAAGGTGAATTTTACAAACAAAAAAAAAAGAACAGAAAAAAAAGGCGAAGAACAACAAAACACGTATAAGAATTACAAAAAAAAAACACGTATGAGGAAATATAGGAGCAAGGAATCAAGCATGCCAACACCAAAAAACATTGGTTCGAGAATAAACCTAACTCTACTAATTTTAATTTTTATCATATAACCATAGTATAAACAAAATTGTGATAGGCTTTATGGGCACAAGAAACAAAAGGGTTTCCTCAAAACTAGTGATTATTGACTAAATAATCTTAAATTAACATGTTTTAATTAATTAATTAATTAATCTAATTGAAAACTAGTGGTGAGTGAGTTGTGTTTGTCTGTGTAAAGTTTTGTCACAACGACAAAAAAAAAACGTTTTTTTTATATATATAATATGCTGATTTGTAGCATGTTGGCATATATTTGTTTATTTAGATTATTAGCTCTTAGAGCTGATTAGCTTACATGTAGCTTTTGAACACTACAAAGAAATTGCTATTTTCACTGCATCAGCCATTCTCTCTTTTTTTTTTATAAGTCAAACCCTAGCACACAACTAACCGAATCATGTTTTGAATAACCTAAACAACACAAATCCACTAAAGAACAGAAAACAAAACCATTCATTGACAAACCCTAATTAAAGTTGTGGCTTCACTATTACTATATAGTACCATCCTTACTTCTGTCCAAATTATGTCCGTAACCTAGGTATTTTAGGTCGGATATCCCAAACATATTTTAAAATAATTTTTTATGGAATCGTAAGTATTTCTTTAATCAAACCGAATAGAATTCACATAGATAAAAATAGGGTTAAACCCATAAAAATTCCTAAACTTTTCGCTTAACAAATTTATTCTCAAACTTGTAAAATATCTCATTATAATTCTCAAACTTATAAAATATATCATTATAATTTCTAAACTTGTTAATTGATTCCACAAAAAAATTCGACAATGTTGATTCATAAATGAATTTGAGAATTATAATGACATATTTTGCAATTTGTGAATTATAATGACACATTTTGCAAATTTGTAAATAAATTTGTCGAACGAAAAAATTAAAAAATTGGTTTTTCACTGTTTTACAAGAATAGAAATTTTTATGGGTTTAACCAATTATTCGAATTTGAAAAAGATAGAACCTAAAAGGGATGCGTCGCCTAATAGTTGATACTGTGGATTGTCTTTAGAGATTTACCCTCCAAATGAAAGCATATTCCAAACACACACACACACACACACATATATATATATATATATATATATATATATATATATATATTTCAGCTCGTATTAAAGGCTTGTTCAGTTTGAAATTATCGTGTCTTATTTGTTTGGTAATGAATTTGCATTGCCATGGTTTAAAAAAGACCAGAAATATGAATATGGAGAAATATATTAAGGTGGAGCAGATTCTGTGAGGAGCAAAGAGTTCTCAAGCCCAGGGAGATGACAAAACTATACTTGTTTAAATCAAAAGAGCAGACATGGAAACAGCTCCCACGTTCTTCTCTCTCTCTCTCTCTCTAAAAGCTATAAACAAAATAAATATTTTTTTTTCTTTCAAGTAATAAACAAACAAGTATTTATGTCTCCAAGGAATAAATATATTCTTTTTCCTCTTTGCGATCCTCCATAAATTCTCTCATCTCCATGCCCTAACCCTCTCCCCCCTTCTCCATAGTTCAAGTGCAAAGTTTCCTTCTTCCAAAGCTTGCTTTGAGCTGTCATCATGGTTGGTTTCTTCACAATCCTTTCTTCTCTTTAAGCATACATACATACATACATACATACATACATACATACATACATATCAATAGTTAATCTCTCATTTTCATTTTTTTTCCATCGAAAATTTTGAAATTGTCAACCCTTATCTTTGTAGAAGGTGAAAGAATAGTTTCGCTATATAAATGTTCATCGCACAATTTGAATCATCGATCATCAAACAATTTCATATGCTATCGCCTTTTTTTTTTTGTCTGAAACGCGTGGTGTTAGAGAATTCAGAAGCCTGCATGGTTGGATGCACTCTACACGCAGAATTTCTTCGCGCCATGTTCGTATCATGAGACGGCCAAGAAGAACGAGAAGAACGTGTGTTGCCTCGACTGCTGCATCAGTCTATGCCCTCATTGCGTACCCTCCCACCGATTTCACAGACTCCTTCAGATTCGCCGGTATGTTTACCACGACGTCGTTCGGCTCGAAGATCTCGAAAATCTCATCGACTGCTCTAATGTCCAGGTCTCCCCTCTAAAATCTATATATATCACGTGTATGTATACGTGTGTATGAATGTTTTGAGCGGATTATTGGATTAAGAATGATGGGTTCGGGCTGAATTTCGGATATATATATACACATGTATGTATAGGCTTATACAATAAACAGTTCAAAGGTGGTGTTCATCAAGAAGAGACCACAGAACAGGCAGTTCAAAGGAGCTGGGAACTACTGCACTTCTTGTGACAGAAGTCTCCAAGAACCTTTCATTCATTGCTCCTTGGGTTGTAAGGTATATATGTTAATCTACCTCTAGTTATTTTTTATCCATTAAATCTCCAATTTCTCCTGAGAATTATAAGTTATATATATATGTAGGTAAAATACATTTTATCCGCATATATAATAATCAAGAAAATTCAAAACAATTATATGTGTTTGATATTTGGCATGAGAATTCCATAAAGATGATGAAGATTCATCATGTGTATGTGTGTGTGTATGTATATGTGTATGTTTTAATTAGGTTGTATATAGGAACTGCACACATGATAGAAAACAAAGATTTGTAAACAAATTAAAAATAAATGGGGACAATATTGTAAGCAAAATTGGTCAGAAGGAGATCATGTTTTTCTACAAATAAAACTGCAACTTGCTCTCTTAAACCTGCTCAAAGTAGAAACACAAGTAGCACAACCATTGATTAAATTAATTAAAAAACGATTAAATATATAAATTATGAATAAACTTAGCACCTATAAATAGAATACTTCTTCCTATCCTGTCAAGTTGGACTTAAAATATGGGGTAGATATTTTGGGGTTATTTTAAATTTAGATTTTGTGGTTTTAGAGAGAGAAAAAAAATATAGTCATTAACGATTCTGTTTTAAAATTTTTTTTTGAGATCTTGTTATTTTTATATATTTGTTTATGGTGCAATTAGAGTTCATTGAAATTGGTCTAAAAATGATATTCAATCGCATTTAGTTCAAATAAAGCTATATGTAGTTTTATTTTGTTCTTTTGTGTTTTGCATACATTTTCTCTTCATCATAAATTGGGCTAAATACAAAAAAAAAATCATATTTGTTTTGTTCTTCCTTTTTTTTTTTTTTACAAGGTGGACTTTGTGCTAAAACGTTACAAGGACCTAACACCATTCCTAAAGCCATGCCACGCTTTAACCCTAGGCCCCGACTACATCATCCCTCAAGACGTCGGACTCGACGACGATGAAGGCGACCCCGACTCCTCAGACGCCGCCGTGGACCCCATGGGGCCCGCGAGCTGGTCCTCCTCCGACAACAATTACCCTCACGACAAGAACATAGTGAGGAAGAAGAGAAGTGGGTTCTACGTTTGCGGCAAATCGGCGGGTAACAGTTACAAGGCGGTGAGCGATGATGACGTCAGCGACATCTCCACTTGCATCAGCCGACGCAAAGGCATTCCTCACCGGTCACCTTTGTGTTAATTAGGAAAAACATCTTTTTTGTTTACTAAATATTTCGTTATATATATATATATTTAATGGAATGAATGGCCTTAGCAATAAAAAGTTTACATTTGATTAATCTCTATTTCTCTTAGAGATGAACTCGAAACGGGCCGAATCTAAATTGTAAGAACAAATCGAATCGAAACGAACGAGAGTTACGGGATTTATTACATGTTCGGAATGCCCAACGAATTCAATTGAAAAATTGGGTTGAAAATTTATAATTATTTTCAGGCATTGTTATTAATTTGTTAAATCTATTAGTAGCATAGTGTTGTTTAGGTTTGCCTTTATACAATAGTACTCTACCTTGCAACTTTCTTGGAGATGTGTTTGTGTTTCAGACCATAACGCGTTCACACAATTGAGATCTGTTAATGCAATGAAAGAGCATCAAGCGAAGATTCAATATCTAGAAGATCTCAAGCAAAAAGGAAACAGGTCAATGTGAAGAAATGGAAGGAACAACCAGTAAGGGAATGACTTGTAAGAGAAAAAGAAACATGCCATTGAAGAAAAATGGAAAGATCAAGTAAAAGGAATAAAGTCCAAGAAAAAGGAAAAGAAGATATTGAGCAAAATATTGGAAACAAGAAGAGGAGCTATGCATAAATACAAGACGTGAGAGATATAGAAAGGTATCCCAACATAATAGAAAAAGAGAGTAAAGAGCAAACGAGCTGGAGAATCATAGGTGTGGGAAACACGGGTGAGTGATACTTGAGAGAGAGTGAAGTTCATCTGAGGGAGAGCCTTCAAAAACAGGCGAACCGCTCAAAGGGCCTAGACGAGTCTAGGGTTACACGGGGTATGCGAGGCACACATAGTGTATGGACTGATAGAATTTATGTTGTAAGGGGGAACAAACTCAGGGGGAGTTGTGTTCTTGGGATGGATTATGCTCGAACAAAAAAGAGTTGTAATTCATGTTCTTTACAAATGAATAGAATCAGTTGGGAAATTTTTGAAAGCAATATCGTGTGAGTTTACTTTTTCAATTGGTATCAGAGCAGGTCACTGATCGTAGGAATTGTTCCTCTCATATCGGTGTTAAGATCCAGTCTCACACAATGTATGGATTCAAGGAGATTCAGACAGTAAAGATGTCTACGATGCTTGACTCGGAGAATTACAGCCATTGGAAGGTCAAAATCAGTGCGTTTATACGTGGTATGGATGAAGATGCGTGGAATACAGTAATAAACGAATGAATGCCTCCCACTGAAGTAATAGATGGAGTTGAAAGGATCAAAGCAAAAGCCAGATGGACAACCCAAGAAAAAAGGAGCTCTGCTTTAAATCAAAAGGCTTTATCAATCATCTTCAGCACTGTATGTCATGAAGAATTCACTCAAATTCAAGGATGTCAAACAACAAAAGAGGCATGGGACACTCTAGAACTCATCTATGAAGGTACGTCTAAAGTAAAAAGAAACAGATTGGATATGATTGATTATCAGTTTGAGCATTTAAGGATGGAAAAGAACGAGGGTGTCAAAGAGTTTTGTGGAAAGTTGAGCGCTTTGTCAAATGAAGCAAGTGTACTTGGAAGGAAGTTCAATGACGAGAAGCTTGTGAAGAAACTTCTCAATAGTTTACCAGCTAAGTATCACTCTCAAATCTTGGTTTTCGAAGGTACGAATAACTTAGATACTGTAAGTTTCAAAGAAGCTGTAGGCACCTTTGCAGCACATGAGTTAAGGATGCAACTTATGAGTGGAAGATCAAGTACACCTCACAATCTGGGAGTTGCACTTCACGTACCAGAAACATCTTCTCCAAAACAAAGAGTGAGTTCATCTTTCAAGGATAAAGAATTATTAGAGGATTCTTTAAAAGATGAGATGTCACGTTTTATTAAGAAGTTTGACAGATTCTTCAACACAAGAAGGGAAGCTTTGCAAACGGATGATAAACGTTTTGGCAAATGTTTGGAGTGCAATGGAACTGGACATGAGAGAGCGCAATGTCCAAGTATTATCAAGAGGGAAAGTCTGTTGAAGAAGTTGAGTGAGGTTCAATGCTTTGAGTGCAAGGGATTTGGGCATACCAAGATGGAATGTGTCAAGAAGAAGGGAAAATCACGTATCATTCATGAGGAGGAGGAAACTGGGTCGGACAGTGACGATGAAGAATTGTCTAACCTCATTGCATTTTTTGGACTTATTGAAGAAGGAGAATAAACACTGGAAGATGATTCAAGTGATGATGAAGAGGTAACTGAGGATGACTTGTTCAATGAGATGACCAAACTCGTTCGAATGAATAGGTATCTGCTGGATGAGAAGAAGCAGCTGGAGAAGGAATTAAAAAATACTCAGATCCAGCTGACATCTACTCAGCATCAACTGTCCCAAAAAGAAGAAGAAACTTCACTCATGAGATGTCAAATTGAAGAGACCAAGAAAAATCTTCATCTTCTTGGAAGTGGAACTGGTAAGTTGGATCATCTACTTGGATAGGGAAGGGGTGCACGAGATCAATCAGGGCTTGGATATGTAGGAAAGGAGGAATATCACCCAGCATTCGTATCCGGAGGAAATCTTAAACGAGAAGTACCTGACTTGGTACGAAGTACTTTTGGCGCCGTCAGAAATACTCCAAAAGTTAAAGTGGATCTACGAACCTCTCGAGAGCAAAAAGAGTGCAGAAACTGCTATTACTGTGGGAAGAGAGAACATATTCGAAGGAATTGCTATTATCTACGACAGAAAAGGAACTCTAATTGGTACGTTCATTCGAATTTGAATCACTCTTATTTGTCTCATCCTTCGAAGAATTTTAGGTGGATCCGTAAATCCGATGTGTCATGCAATGTTGCATGTACGTCTGAACAAACGAGTGGAGATGGTGTCTGGTATTTGGATAGCGGGTGTTCAAGACACATGATAGGACGTCAGAAGCAGTTGACGGATGTTGAAGTAGGTTTGACAAGTAACAATGTCACATTCGGAGATGGAAAACAAGGGAAGATCATTGGTAAAGGAACTCTGGAATGTGGTGGAGTATCCAAGCTGATGGATGTTAAGGTCGTACAGGGCTTAAAGGCTAATTTGATCAGCATAAGTCAACTATGTGATAATGACATGGAGGTGAAGTTCACAAAGGATGCGTGCTTGGTGACCAATACGGATAACAAGTGTATTTTAACTGGACAGAGGACATCAAGCAATTGCTACACATGGGTTGACAACCAGATTTTCAGAAACTCTCTCAAGGATCCAAAGACACGAGCCTAGAATTGAGCAATCAAAAGCTCAAGTATGGTTTTGAATTTATGCTTATACACAGGGGGAGAAAAGACTCGAAAGGTATGTGATCATACACATAGGGGGAGAGATGATACAAGAGGAGAATGATCAGAAAGGTGTATGGTTGAAGATGGTGAGCGAATATGCATGGTTGAAATCGTTGAGGATGATATCAAGGAGCCAAGTGGATGAATGTGTATTCAAGCATAAGTGTGTATAAGCATAAAGTCAAAAAGGGGGAGAATGTTAATGCAATGAAAGAGTATCAAGCGAAGATTCAATATCTAGAAGATCTTAAGCAAAAAGGAAACAGGTCAATGTGAAGAAATGGAAGGAACAACCAGTAAGGGAATGACTTGTAAGAGAAAAAGAAACATGCCATTGAAGAAAAATGGAAAGATCAAGCAAAAGAAATAAAATCCAAGAAAAAGGAAAAGAAGATATTGAGCAAAATATTGGAAACAAGAAGAGGAGCTATGCATAAATACAAGACGTGAGAGATATAGAAAGGTATCCCAACATAATAGAAAAAGAGAGTAAAGAGCAAACGAGCTGGAGAATCATAGGTGTGAGAAACAAGGGTGAGTGATACTTGAGAGAGAGTGAAGTGCATCTGAGGGAGAGCCTTTAAAAATAGGCGAACCGCTCAAAGGGCCTAGACGAGTCTAGGGTTACACGGGGTATGCGAGGCACACATAGTGTATGGGCTGATAGAATTTATGTTGTAAGGGAGAACAAACTCAGGGGGAGTTGTGTTCTTGGGATGGATTAGGCTCGAACAAAAAAGAGTTGTAATTCATGTTCTTTACAAATGAATAGAATCAGTTGGGAAATTTTTGAAAACAATATCGTGTGAGTTTACTTTTTCAAGATCTATTAGGAAGATCGTTTTCTCATGTAATAACATGTCATGTTACTAATTCAACAAGGTCAAGTATTATATCTACGACTAAAATTAATTAAAATCTACATATATGTATATAAAAATTCAGTGGAAACCAAAGCCTAATCTTCACTTATTTATGTAACAAAATCGGCAATCTGTCAATATCACTTATTTATAAACAAGCTGTCTTTCTTTAAAACATATGTTTTAGGAAATTATATCAATTTGAATACGGTTGAAATATGATTATGTGGGCATCTGCATTGCATTGTAATTTTTGTAATGGAATATAACCTAACCAAATCTAACCGAAACTGAAATGGCCGCTTTAACACACGTGTCACTGTTTCGTTGGTCAGACTACGTGGATTTATGAAAGGTGTATCGCAGCTGAAACAAGGCTACGAACGTCGTCGTTTACTCGTCGTCGTCGTCTTCTTCCTTCTTCCGCTGGTGGTGTTTCTGAAGCTCCAATTCTGCAGTTTGTTATGATCTATCGAAGAAAAATGGCAACTCCGAAGATCTTGCTTTGTCTCGTGATAGTTTCGTTGTCTCTTAGCATCCATGTCTGTGCCGATCAGATCTTCCCAGCTCATCTAGGTGATTCTTTTCTTGCCCTTTTCTCTTCCCTTCGTTTTAGTTCGTTCTTTAATTTCTCTTTCAGTTTCGATTCGCCGCATCAAATATGATCTGGGTTCACCGTTTGATCCTCTTCTCTGTCCAAAAAGCGTCGGTGTTCTTTCCTTCTCGATATTGACCGTGTTCTGCCATTCGAATGTTCTTTAATCGCTTTTGTTAGGGCTTTGCTTTGAAATTTCATCTCTTTATTACACTTTTTTCTGTAATGGGCAAGCCAGATTTTTCGATTTCATATAGAATTTGAATATATAGTTACAGAGAAGCTGTTGTTTAGGAACAGAGAGCATTTTGCCCGAACAAGGAAAGAGTTGGTCCCAGATGTTTGAGGTTTTAGGATTTTCCTGCAATTTCCATAGCTATGGTTGGTTGAAGATTTTGTCAGCAATGCCAGTTGCCACTCTCTCTATGTCGGATAAGCTTCTGTGAATGTATATACATATAATAATGAGAGAAGGGATGTTGTTTACATCACCATCAAGTTGGTCTGCCATAATTCGATATTCTAAAGCTAGAGAAACTAAGTGATGTCGATCTGTTCGGTTTCTATGTCTGCTAGCTCTTTGAGATCTTAGGCTGAGAAGTATTTTGGAGTGGCATAGTTCTGTAGTGTCATCCTTCTCATGCTGAGCCATGGTGAAAGCCGAACCGTGTTTCCGCTGAAGTGTTTTCTTCTTAGTGACTCTTTGGTGTGATTCGATCTTTGCATCATCAGCTGCTTGTGATTATCTTGTTCTTATGGTCTTCAACGCTGTCAAACAGCTGGAACGTTCAGCCGAAGCAATCGTGAACCGAAGTACAAAATTGAATTCTTCCCTGAAGATGCGCCGTTTTACCCGGTAATCAGTCTTACCTCTCTTGAGTGTTAGGTCTATTAGACGCTTACCCATTTTCCTTCCCAACTTGACGAGATAGACACTTTCAGGAAAATCATGCTGTACATGCTCCTAATTTGAATCTGTTAACTCTAATAATGATGAAACAATCATGTACATGTGCATTGTCAAATCACTTGCCCTCTAAAGATCCTTTTTTTGATTATCTGATTCCTCGAATTGGACAACTATCATGTTGTGCTTCTTTGTTCTTTCCTTTTGTTTGTTATGTATTCTCGTTAGTCAGCCTCACCAAGAAATGAGGCATCATCCGTTAATATTTGAATCACTTGTTTCTTTGTAGGACGATGACCAGGAATCTATGGTTATGCTTGATAAGCATGGACGAAAGCATTTATGTTACTTACCTAAGGAGGAAAAAGAAAAGAGCGATTGGACCTCTTCCCATCAAAATGTTAGTAATGTGATCATGGAAACTGAAAAACCCGTCAAACTAAAGACTCCGGATGAATTGCTTCAACCGCTGAGTGATAAATGCCTTCTCAGAGTACGGATTTACATTGACCTGTTTATATTGACAACTAAGATACACTACCGTGAAATTTGGTGCTTATGAACCTCGTGTGGATGTGCAGCAAGAGGGTTGGTGGTCCTACGAGTTTTGCCATCTAAGGTCGGTAAGGCAATTACATATTGAGGATGATAATAAGGTATATCACTGCTCTCTCTGTAACTTTATGTGAAGTAGAATTTCTCTTGTTACTTCCGACTATTCGTATCTTGTTTATCATCATATTGGATCAGATGCCCAATTTCTGGTTCGAGTTTTATTCGTGTTGATAATCATCTTCTGATTTGGGTTTATGTAGTTTGCAGTTTGAATAAACCCATATGTATTCTGCCTCTGCAGGTTGTCCAAGAGTTCATCTTGGGAAATTTCGATGCAGACGCAACCGCTGCTTTTAACGAAAATCTACCAGAAGCTTCTACAATGAAAGATCCTCGTTCAAGCGATGCATCACTGAGGTACAAACCCAGATATCATTTGCCGATTTGTTTAAACGCTGCATCTCCGTAATCAATCTCCTGTGGCATTATGCAGGTATCACTCCCACCTCTTCACCAATGGAACCATCTGTGACCTTACAGGCAAGCCTCGAGAAATCGAGGTATGGAAAACAAAAGACTTTATTAAACGCATAGTAGCAGCTCCTCCCGTGATCGGGTTTGTGATTTGTTCCTTGTAATCGCTGAACACAGGTGAGGTTCGTGTGCGCTGAAACGAGGGCAATGGTGACTTCCATGACCGAACTTTCCACTTGCAAGTATGCGCTTACAGTTCAGTGTCCAACCTTGTGCAAGCATCCGTAAGTTCTCTCCCTCCTTCGGGTTAACTTGAAAAGATCCATCATAAAACCATTCGAATTCTGCAGCCACATGAAACAATTATCAATACATAGTGTTTCGTATCGGCCAAGATCCTTTCTAATATACAGTTTGATAAGTAAGGACTAAACCTCCGCTCTCGAGCTGTAGGGTTCATGCTCATATCGAATTGTTTTAGAATCTTGAAAGAACCGATCACGAGTTTATATGAACATCAATTGCTTTTCTTTCGGTGAGATTGCAGGCTGTTCCAGCAAGAGAAACCGGTGTGGCATACGATTCACTGCAATGCAGTTGCAGCAGGGGAAGACGATGCTGCTACAGCTACAAGAACAGAGGAGGAACGACAGCATCTGGACGAGGAACCCACCAAGATGATTACAGATTCTTGAGAAGTAAACCCTTCTTTTGTCTTTTGATCCCCACATTGTGTCTGTGCACTCAGCCATCAAAGCTTTCTCGCAATGGAAACTTCATTAGAATGTTGCTTGACAAGTAAAATTAAAACGCTAGATTTCAATTTCTAAATTTATTTTTATAGTATAGATTAACAAAATTAATTTGATCCAAATTACATTTACTGAATTTTTAAAAAATAAAAAAAGAATATTTCATAGGATATCTGTTTTTCACATACGCAACAAAATGCCGAACAGCCAATTTTACTGTCCGAGGCCACTGGGACTCTGGGATAGCCATGACCCGAGACGCCGGAAAACCCCTTGGGAACGCCATATCGCCGGCGACCGAGAAAACAGATTTACCCAAAACCACCGGAAAGTGCAGAAAACGAAAACCCGAATCAGACCCAACAAGCAAAACCGACGATCGGAGTCCGTACGCGAAGCTCCTCTCCGAACCGCTCCTCCGCCGCCTATCTGCCGCCGCCACCGCGGCCGACTCCTTCCTCCGCCGCAACGATCTCCTCCTTCTCCCTTCTCAGTGTCTCTCCCTCGAAGCCCTCCTCTCGTCTCTGCCCATCTCTCCCTCGCCTTCCTCCTCGTTCTCCTCCACCGCGTGGTTCCATCGCTTCCTCTCCTCCGCATCCTCAGACGACGGCGATCCACGGTGGCATCATTGCTTCCGCATGTCTCGGCCGACGTTCCTCCGCCTCCTATCGTCCCTCTCTCCTCCGCCGGAAGAGCACGCTCTCGCCGCCGCGATTTTCCGCCTCGCTCATGGCGCTTCCTACAAGTCCGTCGCTCGCCGATTCGGCTTCAGCTCTTCCGCCGACGCTTCCCGCGCTTTTTACACCGTGTGCAAGCTCATCAACGAGAAACTAGGGGAAATCAACAAAGACGACCCAAAACCCGATTTCTCGCCTCGCTCGCTCCTTAATTGCTGCGGCGTTCTAGGGTTTGCGAGATTCGAAATCGACGGAGAGCTTCTCGGGCCAAATGGATCGATTCTTGTCCAAGCATTGGTCGATTCCACCGGTAGATTCGTCGATATCTCCGCCGGATGGCCGAGCACAATCAAGCCCGAAACCATTTTCCGGCAGACCAAGCTGTTCTCGGTTATGGAGGCAGAATCTCGAAGCTTCCTGAACGGTCCTTCGCACAAACTGGGTAATGGAGTCTATGTACCTCAGTACATTGTGGGTGATTCTCGTTTTCCTCTATTACCATGGCTTATGACTCCTTATAGCTCATCTTCGAACGAGGAAGAGGATAGTTTCGAATCTTGTCGTAGTGAATTCAACAATGCACATAAGGCTGTAGTTCGTAAGGCGGGCACTGCGTTCGCCAGTGTTAGAGATAGGTGGCGAATTCTCGACAGGAAATGGAAGCAAGAAATGGTTGAGTTTCTACCTTTCGTGATCACAACCTGTTGCTTGTTGCATAACTTTCTGGTGAGTTGCGGAGAGAATGCGCCTGATAACAATGCCGGTGATAGCGGTTGGATGTGGATGAGGGACGACGAGGAAGAAGAGGAGGAGACTCGAGAATTCAGAGAAGAAGATCTTGACGCGAGGAGAATCAGGGATGCAATTGCTGAGAACTTGAGCCGGGTGTGTTCGAGAAGGTAAACTTTTAAATCTAACAAGCTCGCGTTTTTATGATCGATCGTTTATATCGTATGATGATCCCGCCTTTCACGTTTCGGTAAGTTATATGCGGAAATTAAGACCGTGTTTTTATCGAACTTTTGCGGGTCTGGCGTTGAGAATGCATGTAGATAACCAAATTTATGTTGAATGAAAATGAGGACGTATATAAGTCAATGGTGAAGGATGGATAGTGTGAAGATTTTAGGGGGGAAAAGGTTCGGGCCTCATATCCAGCCCAAAGCCCAGTAGGCCCGAAGCCCCTTTGGCCCGAGACTCGAAAGCACGAAACTTAACGAATCTATATTTTTAGGTCCGAATTCCTTTTTTTTCGAACTCAGACCAGACTTCGGGTTTCGGGCTTGTTTGGCATCCCTATATGTTGATAGTATACAAAGGGATAATAGTTATCCTTTGAGATGTTTCGGTTATAGAAATCGAGTGACAAGAACTGTTCCCACCGTAGAATTTTGTGTATTTGTGAGAGTGTTCATGGCTTTGAGAAAGAAGGAACCGAGAGATTATTATTATTAGAAATGGTCAGTTTTTTTTTTGTTAGAGTGGGAAATACCAATTGCTATCCTTCGGACGCGATGGTAGGGTAAACCCATGACCACGTATACGAGTCCGCAACACACACGTGGAAGGTAAATCAGCCGTAACTGACGGACAAATAGTTGAACCTCCAAACTCTCGGTAAGTTGATCATGTTTCTTACTACCTCATGATGGGGTTTCATCAAATGGTCAGTTTTTTTTGTTCCAATACAATGGAATCTGCACAGCATTGATTACACAGCACATGAATGGAATCTATGGCAAGAATCATGTTCGAACATTCTTGATTGATTCCAATCTGTTAGATTTCTTGCGATTTGATCTAAATGATGTTTCAAACGGCTATCTGCTGGTCTTTGGGTGTCCAAATATGGAAACAAGTTTGTAGCTTCTTGTCATTGTTTTTTCCCT